CGAGCATAACCTCATATTTTACTGCATTTCCGCTCTGGACACTTTTGAGTTAAGGACACTTTTGAAGTCTTAACATACGTGTCAAATGTAAAATAGTGTCAAGCATTATTAATTCATTGCTACGAAGGTATTAAAAGAAATTGCCATCAATTTAATGTGCAATGTATTGATACAATTATCATAACGTTAGACATGCTTGTGATTCGAATGTTAGAAATGGTCAGTTTTGTGACTTGGTCCTGGTTAGAATGACACTACATAAATGTAAAATGACCAGTAATATGTTGTACGGGGAAACCGTGAGAAAGTACGTCGGCATCTTTTGGGTGTTGAGCATTTGTTAATGTTCTTATATTGTTATGCTAAATGTATGGAAGAATGTAAGCCAACGAGAAACAGGGAGATTGTTGTTTGAGTTGTCAACCTGCTTTATTCTTGTCAGCCGGTTTAGAAATGAAGCCAGAATAAAGAACTTCTCATGTGTGTATTGTTGGGTCGATTCACTTATAACTGAATGGGGTCTGGCAAGCGAGACAAATTCTCACGCTACGACTTTCTCACTATACTTGTTTAGTATAATAGACCATTGTCCGTTCACTGCGAGAATCACGCGTTATGCGTGAAATCGAACGTAAAAACAAGACAAACAAAGGTCGTAGTGGCGTCAAACATCGCGTGAGATTCGACAAACGCGAAAGTATTTTGGGAGACATTTCCATACATAATAATGTGCTGTTCACATTTCATGATAGGCAATTTCGATTAAGTAAGGGTATTCGGAAGCAATATTTTTTCTGTCGAGGATCGGCCGGTCGATATGAGTTACGAAATAAAGAAATTCTAGCTCAAAATCAAATCGTTTGACTTTTGCGGCAGACGTTCGACGCGCGTCTTTCATACATCTCGCGAGATCTCGCAATTGTACGGAAAATCACCTATTGCCATAACGTTACACATGCTAGTGATTTGGAAGTTAGAAATTAGTCAACTACGTAAAAGTGATAACAAAATAAATGTGATTAATTTACAGATATTTACTGTATGGGGCAGACGCTTGAATATCGCCTGAATGTGAATAAAGTAACAATGGCTGCCCAATATTGTAAATATCAGTAGGTTTGTCGCATGTATTTGATTTTCACTTATACGCCAGCTCACTGTGGTCATTTGGTATATTTAAAGGGCGGTCTCATATGAACAGAGATGGTGACTTCGAGATTAACGAGAATAAACTCAGATGCTACCAAGCTTTAATTAGGTATTTTTTAGTTGACTGGGGGTATCGAAAAAGTCACCGGTGGTAATAAGTGGAAGTTGCGCCCAGGTAAAACATCATACTCGTGATTTCCATCTGTAAAATCACTTCAGGCGACGAGAGCTTAATCAACTGTAAAATTAATAAAATGTCCTGAAGGAATAATTATATACAACAGTTTAAAATTACTTAATCCCGTTATGATTATTTTGCAAGGCGGTAAATGAGTTGACCTAATTTTAATTCTCTATTATCAAGTTGGTGGGTATCAGCTGTGGTCGTTCAGCTATTGCGAGGTATAACATTTTAAAATAAATTCTACTCAAACAGTTTCCCTCTACATATTATCCACCCACTTAATTACAAGCAATCGGGAAAATGCACGGGGCGGGGAGTGGCACTGTACATGAATGCACGGGACGGGGGGTGGCACTATACATGAATTAATAGCTTTTAAATTTGCGCTTTCAGCTATATGCTTTGTGGATCGATCTTTGTGCAAACCTTTATTAATTACAATAAACTTGTCATAGCCAATACTCCGCACCACACATTCTCGACAGTTTGGAAGAATGTCTTGATCAATCGTCAACTAAAGGTGATAATTGCATTATGCTTGGTGACTTGAACATTGACACTATTCCTAATACCCCCACCTTCTAACAATTACTGCAACCTTCTTAATAAATATACAAATTCTCTCAAAAAAAATACCCTAACGAGAGTCACTGAAAGAGATAGTTCGATCATTGGTCACTAGTCTAACATCATGGACTACTACTAATGAAAGTTGTACGATCAAATATATCCCTAACCATTATCCATCTTATGCCAATATCAAACGTCACGATCACGTGTTTAACTTAGGTTAAACTTTGCTCACACCTATATGATTTTGGAAACTATAGTTAAAATGCATTGAATTTCTCTGACAGCTAGAGAGCTGTATCCTGTCAGTCAGTATATGATTGTCACAATGCAAACAAATCATGTTTTT